CTTTCAGTGTGAAGTTATTGTATTTAATTCATCCTTTATTCACTCAGGTGGGTCCCATGGAGATACAAAATCTCCTCCTCCAGGGGAGTCCTGGTCAAGACAGTGGCACAATCAACATTCATTGAAATAACGTTACACAGTGAAACACATACAAGACATAAAAGTAACACAAGGGAAAGTAGTGAAAGGAAAGGGATGTAAAGGCCATACCAATTACATCCATACACATTCCACTGAAGTCAAGCACTGAAAAGGAACAACACCACCAGGGCAGTTTTTAAAACACATTTAAAGGTGTTCAAGGCAGGGAGTGCTTGTAAGGTAACAACATTTTGAAGTCCATTTCACACCCAGTGCATAAGAAGAGAAAACAGCTTTACTGAGCTCTGAGCGCACCCTGGGGACATTTAAAAGAATATGATTTGAAGAATGAGTGCAATAGCTGCTAGAATGAAAGGACAAAGTGGGTAGTTTACCTAACAGTGCCTCAGCAATAAATAACAACATGCATTTTTCTCCTCTTACACAGACAAGGCCATCCGAAAGATTAATATGAAATGCAATGGTGAGTGCCAGAGCCTGCATTTGTGACAAAACAAAATGCAGCATTATACGCAGAATCCAGTTATTTAAGTAAGGATGAAGATGCATGAATGTAAATCACATCACCATGTAATACAGACAGAAATGAACATGCACAGTTCTCTTCCTGGCCTCCAAAGAAAAACTTTTTTTTTTTAAATGAAAAAGAAGCCCAGTTTTGGCCTCAGCTTTTTGGCCTCAGTCAACTTTTAATCAATCCATTATGCCCAGACATTTGTAGTAAGTGACTCTTTCAATACATGTACCATCTTCTGTCAGAATAGTGGGATCAGCTGTCTTAGAGCGTGTGTGTGAAAGTCATACGTCTGGTCTTGGTTAATTGGTGGCTTGTGAAGCAGTGCTTTCATTCACTTCCACAACAACTTTCCCTTCAGTGTCAAATAATTTGAATGTGTAACAGGTGAATCATCACCTTAGCACTAACAGACCCTTTTCCTTCCATTTTGACATGTCATAGTAGAAAAAGCACAGGTGTATTCAATAACATTAAAGATAGCTGCATTCCACTTTAGGGAGGCCCTGGTACTGTCTATGCTGGCTCACTGGAACAGCACACTGGGATGATTACTGGAGCTGGGCTATCGTTAATGTTATCAGTTTCACCTGTGCTTTTCCTACTGTGACTAATCAAAATGTCTACTGTGGGAAAGGTCAATTGTGGGTGGTTGTGTGTGTGGTGTGTGTGAGCCAATGGCTATGATTGAGTGGGCTGATTGAAGGCAGGTGTGTCTGAGTTTGCCTGCACGGAAGTGTGTTGTCAGAGAGGACTGTAACAGATGATGATACTTTGTCAGATCAAGTGTAAAGGTTTTCTTGCATCACAGCTGCTCCATTTGCAACATACAGACAAACATTTTAGTAGAGGATATACCTTTTTAACCCACGAGGGGAAATTCGATTTTTTCACTCTGTTGTCATATACACACAGGCACGAAACACACACACATGCACAAACAGGATCTATACATGCATTATATGGAGAAATATCAGAGTGAGGGGCTGCCTATGAATCAATCCAGTTATCAGTTCACGGTCTCTATTTGGTCCAGATGGGGACTTAAACCAGCGACCCTCGGGGGCAACCCAAGTTATTGCCGCCCCAGCAGACAAGACAAGAAACAAGGATACATACATTTAACTTGATATTACAATTAACAAAGAAAACATATTCAAGATCCTTTAATACACATTTGATCTGGGATTAGAATATATTCTTTGTTGGACCTTTGACCTCGGACAAGTGGAGTGACAGTGACCCCTAGGATTGTTTCACCCTCCCTTCCGGTTGATAGTGACCTTGACTGTCTCCCCCCTTTTTTAACTAGTTGAGTAATCAGAGTATCACAAGTCTGTTGTCTCTTGCTGAGTCAGGCAGGTCAGTTGAAAACCTGCAGGTCTACTGCAAAGTCCTGCAGCAGGTGTTACATATCAGTCATTGGGGGTTCCTCTTATGTTCACTGGCCGTCCTCAGATATACTGTACATTATCACAGGTTTAAAAGGTTTTGTCAAAGTCGTGTCACCGCTGTTTGACAATGCGCTTTGAACTCTGCACTGCAATAACACAACTCTGACATAATAAAATTCAGACATGATGTGCAGTGTGATGAGTTCCAAGGTTCAAATCCTCTGCCGGGTGATATTCATATGGTATGGAAATGAGCTGCCTGCAGGGGAGGAAACAAGTGACAGCATGCTTCAGAAATGGCATCTGTCTCTATCTGTTGGTGTGTGGGTGTGTGTTTGTGTGTTTGTGTGTGCGCTGGTGAGATAAGAGCCATTGCAGTTATAAAAATAAATAAATAAAAAGAGCTGGAGCAATCAGAGAGCGAGGGGATAGACTTGATCTGATAAATATTTTAGATGGTGTCTCAGTGAACTAAGGCTGGGAGTGCGCTCTTTTGCTCCTACCTCTCTTATTGTACACTTACAGGAGACACACACTCACATTCACAAACTCACAATATCACAGATACATGAGTATTCACACACACACACACACACACACACACACACACACAACATGAATCCAGGTTAAATGTTGAGACACTGTCAGTGTTATTCTCCAACTTCCAGTGCTACCTTATTATTAATAAAGTGTAACATACTGTGGGTCAATATTTCATCACCAACAGCCCTGTTACTTACAGTAAATACACAATTTTCAAGCTGATACACAGTGAAGTGATTTTACTAGCAAATTAAAGCCTAACAAAAAGAATTCTGTATCAGATAGGGCAATGTTTCTCTTACCTGAGAGCAGGATCCCTCCATGAAACACCGGCACTGCTGTGCAGCAGAAATAAAAGGAAGTAGACGAGGAGGAGTAGGAGGAGGAGGAGGGTGATGCGTGACTTCTGTTCTTACAATTGATGTATTTATATGGAGGTATGTACAGTATATATGGGCTGAGAAAGTGTGAGTTATGTAAGAATGTGTGAGCATACAGTACAGACAATATCTATTTATTACACTGAAATCCTGTTGTGTTTTTTTCTAGTTTAAGTGCACGACTTCACTCATGAACAGCTGATTCATTTCATCCCCCTAGGAATGAGTCAGCATGTGTCTGTGTGTGTGTCTGTGTGTGTTCACCAGTCAGTTTTGGAAGTCGAATTTCCCTTTCATTCAAATATAATGAAAATATTTTATTAGCATACCTTTTACATTACATAACAGTGAATCATAAAATGCACTGTTCTATTGAACAGGCCCCATGGAGCAACAGCTGTACAGTCTGGCTGTTATTTCACTTGCAACCAGCAGGTGTCAGCATAGTCCCTCTCTTTTGGCATTGCATCAACCTATCTCACCTGGACAAGAAAGGGAGCTATGGAATTTCTGTATATTGACTACAGTCCAGCATTTAACACCATCACAAAGCTCAAAGAGCCCGGATTAACAACTTACTGTGCATGTGGATCCTTGACCTTCTGACAGGCAGGTGGTAAGAGTGTGTGGACACACCTCTTTGACCCTCATCCTTAGAACCAGAGCACCCAAAGGCTGCGTTTGAGTGCCCCGCTGTACTCCCTTTACACACATGATGACTGTGTAGCCACTTTCGACTCCATAACCATCATCAAGTTTGCTGACAACACAGCTGTGGTGAGTCTGATCATGGATAACAATAAAACAGGAGTACCTGACAGAAGTAGAGGACCCAACCTGTTGCTGTTAAGACAATGACCTACTCCTATACATCAGCAAAACTAAGGAGATGATCAGGAAGGAGCAGCAAAGGAACTACACCCCCCTTTAATATAAACAGGTCCTCGGAGGAAAGGCTACATAGCTTCAAGTACCACGGTGTCCAAATCACAAAGGGCCTGTCCTACTGGTGTCAGGACAACGATCTACTCCTGAAAATCAGCAAAACTAAGGAGATGATCGGGGACTTTGGGAAGAAGCACCCCCTACTACACCCCCTTAATATAAAGAGGTCCACAGAGGAGAGGCTAGATAGCTTCAAGTACTTTGGTGTCCAAATCACAAAGGGCCTGGCGCTGGGTGCTGACTTGGCAAAGTGGAGACTGTTTCACCTTAGACGCCTGGGGGAATAACAGGTAACCCCTCAAACATGGAGGAACTGACCGATTGATGGATTGATTCTAGGCATGACACTGATATTAGATGTAGTCTGGTCAGTGTAGCATGAAGCAGGGTCAGCAATATGTTTTTATCTGATCAAAGAAGAAGGATACCTGATAGCAAAGTAATAAAAACAGGTTTTGTCTCATTTCTCAACTCAACTGCAGGACATTAATATTTAATAGATCTTCTTCACCCTTTGTCTCGTTCTCTCTCATCCACTTCCTCTCCCCATCACCTATAACCTCCACCACCACCCTTACCTCAGCTCCCACTCCCCCCTCTCCATCCTCCTCTCTGTCAGATCCCACAGCAGACAGGAACTATAAAACAGTGAGCAGAATTTCACTCAGCCAGTGAACAGTTGGAGCCAACACACCCACTGAGTGTCCTCTACGTGATCACCGCACAAACCTCGGATTTATTGGGAGGTTGCAGCGCCTTTCATGTTTTACCACGACTTTGTGCAATGCCACGAGGCTTATTTTCAGGACGGGGTAAAAGTCTGCCTTCCATTTGAGGAGATATCAGAAGGTCGTGTGAACAGTTGCAGCAAGGTCATGCTTGCTATTCAACTGATTAAACAATAATATACAATGCTTAATGAAATCTTTGTTCCAGCCCCACTGAGATAAAGACAGGAGTGTGTTTTGTTGTTGTTTTGATAACATGGATTTGAATCTCTTCTTTTCATCTGCTTCTGACCCCAAACTCTCTGCAACGCCACTAATCCAATAATAATCCCAACTACTGTAAGAAGATAACCTCTGTGTCAGATTATGCTGCAGAGTCAGTGAAAACACAGAAAACAGGGAAGTTGTTTTATTGGTTCAGCCCGGCATCACAACTGAATGAAGCAGCCTGTGTCGAGGACATGAATAATTCAATAATCCAGTTTATCCAAAATTATTCAATGCATATCAATTCTGAGTGCAGGAGTCTGAAGTGGACAAAATTGCTTATAAAACATCCTGCAGGCTACGTGTAATGTGAGACCGCTGCTCTGAAATGCTAACTAGCAGGACCAGCCCGCTGTGCAAGTGACATATCTGCAATGACAGTAACACTGAGCCTAATAACATCCATTACTGCCCTGCTGCTTAGCAAAGAAGGACTGAACTCTCAGGGTGTGTGTGCGTGTGTGTGTGTGGGTATGTGTGTGTGTGTGTGTGACATCATCTGAAGTAGTGACACTCTTGGGTACAGTAAGTCAGCCTCCCTCTTCCCACACACAATCAGCTCTGTAAACACATGCATATGTTCATGAACGCACACACACACACGCACACACAGTTTCACACGCACACTTGAGAGTTGTTTTCAGACAGCGTTAAGGTTCTTTTATTCTCCGGCTGTCCATTAAAAAGTAAAAAAGCATCTGTTCTTTTTAAATAACAATCATCTTCTTCAACATTTAAATTGATTTGTGAGATTTTTTTTCTTTCATGTCCTGCAAATAATGTTAGCTGTCTTCCATGTGTTGCTTAAGCTTTCTCAGGCCGTAACTGTCTCCACATGCCCAGAGGAGGGACATGGGGAATAAATAAAGCTTTTGTCAAAGGCTGGCTGGCCCTCGTCCCAGATTCTCCTCTTCCTCCTTTCCTCAGTATCCCCTCATCAGGCAGCAGAGTAGATTGACATCCTAGCTTTCATCCACTCGGACACCAGTGTGTGTGTAAATGAACGTACAGTATGTCAGTTCAAGTGTTTTTTTTCAAGTGTGCGTACACACGACAGTCACTGTGTGTACACGGCATGGTACCACGAGTCTTTCTCTGTGAGTCCCAGGTCTCCGTATCAGAGTTCGTCCCTTGAGGCTCGAGCTGCAGGAGGCGGTGAGTCTCCAGTGACGCTGTTCTGTGCCACCGGGCGGATACTGCCCTGCTGGGCCGTCTTGCGGGCGTGCTGCCGGTCCCAGTCTGTGGCCACGGCCTCGTCGTCCCAGATGGTAGAGGTCTCTGTGTCGCTGATGTAGCCTGGCTCTCCGGTGTAGTGGGTGGGATAAATGAGCAGCGGCTCCACAGAGAAGGCCTTCAGGTCCCGCGGCTCGAAGTGGGACATGTAGTCAGTGCTGAGAAAGATGGGGGACAGATGGGGAGAAGAGATGTTAAGGATACTGGAGGCAATTTGATTGTGATTAAGGTGTTGAGTATTAATTATTATCATTATCAATTAACCTTTGATTATTTAATTTCATCCATAAAACGTTAGAAATATGGCTAACAAATATGGTTAACGATTCCCCACAGCCTAGAGTGATGTCTTGTGCTTTCAAAATGGTCTTAAAATCAAGTGTCAGCAACTGTACACCTGCATTAATATGACTAGATGTTACGTGTCCGCTCGTGTCAGTTATCAAAATACTTTTCAGTTAATTTTCTGTCAACTGACTCATCAACGAATCAACCAGTTGTTTCTACATTAATAATGACGAGGGATTATTCGAGAAGAAATCAACAGGAAGCTTCACACTCTTCAGCACCTGTACATTAAAAAATGTTGGCATTTAGAAATGTGATGTGATTGATATGATTACCGACTCATCCTCTGTGACTTATCTATACCAAAGTTCAGAGGAAGGAATGACTATTTTGACCGTTTTGTATTTTGCTTCACTGACTCATCGTATCCTGTTAACTTATAGTTCTGCTGTCCATGCACTCAATGTACCGGAATTTAATTTTACCACGGACAGCATATTTACAGGATATAAAAAGGGGAAGAGGACACTCTTCTCAACTGCAAAACAATTAGTCATAATAGGGATGTTTTTATCACTCTGCACAAAATCACATGCTTTACAAAAACAGTGGCGGAGGAATTGAGTCTTTATATGCTGTTATAGGTCAGATATGAAGGTGAATGGTAACTAGTGTCTATAGCTATCAGATAAATGTTGTAGAATAAAAAGCACATTATTTCCCTAGTCTGAAATGTGGTAGAATTAGAGCTGAAACCAACAGTCATTTAATTGTTCAACGGAAAGTTCATCAACAACTATTCTGCCATTTATTTATTTCAATTTCTTAACCCAAAGTGTCAATCATTATCCAGTTAAAGCTTCTGAAGTTGGAGCTCATGCTTTTCTTTGTCATATATGATAGTAAACTGGAGATCTTTGGGTTTTGAACTTTGTAAATGCCACATTCGGTCCTGGAAATTATAATATCCACTCTTTTCTGATGTACCAAAACAAATGAGCATACAGGCATTCAAGTAGAGTACAAGCACCTCAAAATCTGCATTTAAAGCTACAGTCTCTCTTTCTTTCTCTTTGGTGGCACCCATGGCAATAAGCAATAATTCCGAGTGACCAAGAAAACTGAAAAAAAAAAAAACGGAGGTTACGCCGCTTCACATACATGCAAGTTGAGGAGCGAGTCTGTTGTGTTATCTCTGCCTTTATTCTCTGGTGGATCAACCACTCCTGGGAGATGGAAACCCTGTCACTAACTGTGGGCCGCTTGTGATTTTTCCTGGGAAAGTCGCCTCTGACACCCAGTTTTCAATAACACATATTCAAGGCAGGCCCCCAGGAGGTGTGCCAGGTTTTGAAGCCAATTCTCATAGTGGCCAAGTGGTGGAATTACATTCGTCACATGATGCCATGTGACCCAAAAAGGCTCTTTCCCCACAGACTTACATGGCGTAAATCTCAACCCCGGTGAAATGACACATTTCACTATAAGAATTTGATCCATTAAGTTCAATAACAGTTGCAAAGTCTAGAAGAGCCACACTATTTAATAACTTTTTTGCCCATCAAGTAAGTGGAGTGCTAAAGGCTTGAAACAGTGGACCATAGGCTCAGTCACCATTGTGTTCCCTCATTCAGCGATAAATAGTTACTTAACAGATAGCTATATAAAGGAAAATCTTTGAGATGATTACCTCAAATGCAGTAGTTGAGTAAATGTTCTCAGCTACTTTGCAGCACAGTAGACTAAAAACAGTGGGCATGATAAAGAAAATCTGAAAAACATTTAACCCCAGCCCAAAATCGCATCTTCATGTCGTCATATAAACTACCATCACATTGTGTCACACTATAGGCAGCACAAAACTCTACTATCAGCCTGTCATCGTCAGTGTGCAGGCGGGTCAGAGCGATGAAGGAGAGCTGTTTGGGTGGGACACGTCAGCCTGGAGGCTCGTGCAGACAGAGGTCACGACAGGGGTCAACTCCCTGCTGTTCAATACCTGTTTAAAGCCTGTCAGCACCACATGTGACAGTGAAACCCTACACCTTAATTAGACCACAAACGAACCCACTCACACATTTTTTCACGCAATGAGGCCTTTTCTACCTGTCTTTACTGTCGTGTATTTCTATTGCTTCTGTTTATGTGTGTTGCAGAGCAAAAACTGAGAGGAGAAGAGAAAGCACTTTACTGAGTTTAGTGAGACAGCAGTCTCACCATACAGCTTTCTTTCCCCTAAAAACAACATATGTGACATAATAGCCGCAATTTAAACAGAACACATAATCCCCTGCTGTTCACTTATGTAATATACAACACATTTTACATAATTTCCCAGCTGCCTCTCCACATCTCTGTCCATATTTCCCATTTCTTTCACTTCTGAACAAACTCACCTTCTCTCACTGTTGAATACACACACAGCATGTTTACCTAGTAATCTATACACTGCACACTGGACACACATCTACATGTATTTATATAGTAACACGCTCACACTCACACAGTGTCCATCTCTACCCCACACCCATGCCCAGGCCTCTATCAATGGGAATCCTGTCCCCTTCTCAAAACCAGCAGGAAGAGCCGTGCTGGCCCACATTCCTCAAAGAGAGAGAAGGAAGGAAGGGGGGAGGAGAGGTGGGTGACATGGGGAAGGAGTGGGTGTGCAGAAACGTAAAGGTCTGTTGAGGAGAGTGAGGGAATGATAAAGACGTAAAAAAGAAATGAAGAATGAGAAGAGAGCCAAGAAAGACAAAGAGCTCCCTTTAAGAATAAATGATAAAGAAAATGGAAAGGAGGGAGGATATGGAGGTGGAGGTGGAGGCGGAGCAGGGCACGGCAGGCATCCCCAAGGAGAAAAGAAAGAGAAAAGCCGGCATTGTGTGTGCTGTGCAAAGCCTTGTACCCACTGAACCCCAAGAACAATCCGTGCCCTGTGTACGAGGGAGCAAAGACGAAGGGAAAGAAGAAGAAAACGGAGAAGAAGAAGAAGAAGAAGAAGGGGTTGGTTATGGAAAGAAAAAGAAAGAAAGAGGGGCGAACATAATCAGGGTATAAGCAGGGACATATAGGGAACATATCTTGGAACTGAACTGAACGGAGGTTGTGGTCTACCACACGGGAACAAACTAGGAAACTACACACTATTCCACTGTTTAAAAAGTTGCCAACAAGCATGTTTGTGTCTATGTATAGATAATTACTGTACACTAGGTCCTTTAGTATTTCAGCACTGGTTTATTGCCCTCGTGTCTGTTTTTTTGCATGCACAGGATCGATGCATGCCTGACTGTTTTCTTTAAATATAGCTTTTAATTTTGCATCTTCGTGTTTATTCTGAACGTGGATTACCTGATATAGAGTGCACCTGCAATCATCTATTTGTGGTCCTCAGTTAATATTTGTCTGTCTGTTCATAAACCAGATTGTGTGTAAGGATCTTTCTGTCTGTGTTTGTGAACATTTAATAATAATACATCTCTTTGTAGCTTTGTGGTTTTCTGCATTACACGCCTCAAATAAATCTCCATGCCTTTGTATCCCATGAGCATGCTACTCCTGTTATTCTAAGCGCAGTCATGCAGCACTGTAATTTAAAATCAAAGTAAACTGGAGTAAAAACTGACTTTGGGTGTTTGTTGAACATGATGGGCAGGAACTCGTCAACGGGCAGCATCCTCGCGAATGGCTCTGCAGCCAGTAACTTCCTGGCTCCCTGCTGTGACAGCGCATAGCCGAGTGTCCAGTAGGAGTAGTCAGCCTTGACCAGGTTGTTCACGCCGTCCACGGACTGCTCCGGCTGCTGCACCTGCATACGCTTACGCCCCACATAGCTAGAGCAGAGATGGGAAGAACGTGTTGATGAGGCTTCATGTGAATGGGTGCAAATGCACATTTATTTGAAAACAAAAAGTGTGGGGATGAGTGGGTGTTCTTACATGAGGTCCCAGTCCAGCTGGGTTTTGTCTATGTCATCCATTATGGCCTGGAGCCGTCGTTTAAACCTGGGCTCAAACCTCACGTCATCCTCTAAAAGAAGAACCCTCTGGAGGCCTTGCTCTATCACCTGGATCAGAAAGTACAAACACCCGAGTTAGAATGAAAGAATAACAGCTGTCTGGATTGTCCCTATCTTTTACATTATTCATGATGCTTACTTATCTATCTGTTCTATCTTATGTGGGCCATTTTTTGCTTCAATTTATCAGTAGGATGGTGCAGGCTATTTAAGAGTAACTTCTGTATTTTGGTCCAGTATTGAATGAGACAGCTGCGGCTGGCAGCTCAGGCAATTGTGCATAGTTCATGTACTATCACTAGAAGTGCTTGTTTTTGCCACTGACAGGCTCAGGTTATTATTATAAGTGTCTGACAACATTATGGAAAGGATCCCTACAGAGATAAACCTTTTGAATGAACTAGTGATTGTTGTGGGCAGCACAGTGGTGTGGTGGTTAGCACTGTCGCCTCACAGCAAGAGGGCTGCCGGTTCGATTCCGGGTGTAGGAGCCCTTCTGTGCGGAGTTTGCATGTTCTCCCCATGTCAGCGTGGGTTCTCTCCGGGCTCTCCATTCCAGTCTCCAGTCCAAAGACATGCAGAATGGGGACTAGGTTAACTGATAACTCTAAATTGTCCGTAGGTGTGAATGTGGGCGTGAATGGTTGATTCTCTATGTGTCAGCCCTGCGATAGTCTGGCGACCTGTCCAGGGTGTATCCTGCCTCTCGCCCCATGCCAGCTGGGATAGGCTCCAGCCCCCCCGCGACCCTCAAGAGGATGAAGCTGTTAGAAGATGAATGAATGAATGGTGATTGTTGTAACAGTAGAAAGTTGAGGTGTGTTTTACAATGACAAAATTACTGTTTATTTAAATGAAGTCTGGTGGCTTTGGTGAGAGCAATACAACGGCTGTTTCTAGCTAAACAAAAAGGATTTTACTCCTTAATAAAAAGGTCTATCTCTGTAGGGATCCTTTCCATAATGCTGTCAGACACTTGTAATAACAATGAGAACCTGTCAGTAGCAAAAACGAGCACTTTTAGTGGTCACACACTTGACGATGTACAATTGCCTGCAGGGATTACATTCCAGCCCGTTTTGCAGCTGCAGCGCTCTCACTCAGTACTGGACCAGTTTCAGAAATTCTTGTTCCCATTAGTCACTTGGACACAAAGACATGAGAAAATAGGGTCAAGGCTGAAAAATACTGAGGTTACATTTTTCACATTATTTGGAACGATCACTACACTAACTGCTTTGCTTTGATGGTCTGGAAGCTGATTTATAAACATGAATTAAAATGCCACTTTTCACCCATTCATTGAATTGTGTGAGGAGTACCTGGAGAAAGCCCACCTGACACAGAGAGAAACAGGCTGTGTGCAAACTCCACACAGCAGGGCTCCCCTACCCTGGGTTCCTGGTTTGAACCCAGGGTAGGGGTTTTTTCCAGGTACTCCGGCTTCCTCCCACAGTCCAAAGACATGCAGGTTAGTTTAATTTGTAACTCTAAATTGTAGGTGTGAATGTGAGTGTGAATGGTTGTCCATCTCTATGTGTCAGCCCTGTGATAGTCTGGCGACCTGTCCAGGGTGTACCCCGCCTCTCGCCCAGTGTCAGCTGGGATAGGCTCCAGCCCCCCCGCGACCCCTAACAGGATAAGCTGTTATGGAAAATGGATGAATATATAATATAATATAATATGATATAATATATACATGTTTCAAACTGCCACATTCTGGCAACTTCTTTTGTGACATCATATTACTACATGCACATGACAAAAACATAAAACAAACAAAACAAATATCTACACACTGAGCAGTCACCACATCTATTATAACAATACGATGATCAGCTCATTTCGGCGCTATGTGGGAGAACTATTGTAATTAGCTTGATCACAAGCAGCTGATGTTCACCTACAAGTTTTCTGCCTTTACATGCACATTTATCTTCAGGCAACAAGGAGGACATTTGTTTCCTGTTGAAGGAGATGTCAGCAGGTTGTGCTGTCACAAGATCTTCCAACCACCACTGCTCACTACACGGGCCTTCCTCTGTGAAATCAGTGTGTTACTCCCTCTGTGCTCTCACCTGTGTCCATATAGAGTGATGGCTGAGGAAGCAACCGATCTCCCCTCTGGTCAGGACTCGTCCAGAGTAAGGGTCCTTGTAGCCCGGCATCATCTCTATTCCCAGCGCCTGCAGCTGGGACGTATTGAGAGCTCTGGGAGAGATGGGGAAAGGAAATGTGGGATGAGTAGTTGGAAAAGAAAGGTCATTCTCATAACTACACTTGTCATTATGCAGCTGAGTTTGTCATCAGTGAAAACAGCGTCTCTGCAAAACACAACAAAGTCAATCTCAGCAAGCTGCAACAAGTAATACATTGTGCCAGACAAACAAAGGCTGGAGGAAGGATTAGGACATTCTCAACAGCGGATTAAAGAAAGTGCCGAGGAGGTAAAGTAAGTCAAGCCTATTGCTACAAACACCAAAGCTCTGTTTAGAAAGGATGTTTGGATATAGATGTAAGAAAAAGTAGCAACAGACGGGAGACACAAGGCCGGGCATTATCTTAGCTGACGTTCAGGGAGCACAGTTTAAGTGCATGAGATGTTTTGGGTGGAAAAACCTGACTTGCGGTGGTGCTGAATATACTTAAAAAATGTAAGCACAGAGAGTTTGAGGTGATTTCTTTGAGGATTAAAACAGCCTTCAGGTCAGTTCATTGGGTTCATGCAGGGCTGTGTGAATGCGGGTAACCTACTTGCCGTCCACTGCGTCTACCAGTGTGGCGTGTAGACCCAGTGCAGACATTGTTTTCAGCATCCTGGTTCTTCTGTCCAGCCGTCGCTTCAGATTGATCAGGAAAATCTAAACAGAAAAAATGGAGACATGTTCATTTAAGAGATTTTCTATTCTGTAAGTTCTCCTATTTTCTATCAGTTTCTCTCTGTACAATAGAGGATGACTAATAAAGTGAACAGAGGACAATTAAAACAGAAGTTTGGGCAGAGAGGTTTGAGATGAAGGCAAGGGCAAAGGAAGAAGAACTTGGAGACCCAGCTACAACAACAGGAAGTGGGAGTTGCTGATTAACAGTAAATACACAGAGAGAAGAAGCTGAAGAGCTCCCGTTCCTGCAGGCAGAGCCAACACACTCATAACTCACTTTATCAAAACCAGTGGTGTCCTGCGGTGACGGCGGGGAGTACAGGTGCTCAGTGGGCTCAATGTCGTGGTCAACTGTTGACACAGAGAGGAGGGAGGCGAAAGGTTAACACAGCAAAAACAGGATTAGAAAACAGTCGAATTTCCTCGGGATTGTGGTGGCTAATTTAATTTGCTTTATTTAAAATCTGAGCAGTGGGGGGGGGGGGTTGAATAAACAGGGAGGGGGAGGAGAAGATATAGAGACAGTATGGAGGAGGGAGATTTAGGCAATGAGGGTTGACAGGATGCAATCATGAAGGGTCGAGGTCAAGACAGAAAAGAAACAAACCTGAGAGGTAAAGTAATCAAGGAGTGACTAATAGTAAAGCCACGACAGCTGGAAAATGTTGTGTGTGTGTGTGTGTGTGTGTGTAAGGACTCACTCAAAGCCTCGGTGATGGTGTGTATAAAACTCTCGCTTTCATCTTCCACACTCTGCTGTGCTTTTAGAGGGACAGGCAGCAGGCCGTAATGTTCTTTGTTGCACACGTACATCTGCACACCTGGAACACACACACGTGCACACATGGTTCTGTAAATAAAACCTCTTGACCCAAACCTTCAAATAAGCATGCAAATTAGACCACCCCAGGTCCTCATACCTCGTCTACGTGTGCTGACAGCAAATAAATACTGCCACAGCTAATAAACTGCTCGATGTTCCTTAGTGTTGTTGTTATGCATGAAGCGTGGTTAGGTGGGATGGTTAGAACAGTGTCATACAGAGCGGGTAAAAGTGCTTTGCATGTTTTGTGAGGGATCAAATGTGCTATGATGCCCTGGACACCAGTATGCAGACTTCACACAAGAGAAACATATGTTATCAATCAAAACCATCCTCTCTTTCATAGCCTTAGCAACATGTGTGTCCTTGTTTTTATGTTGCATTTCAATTGGGTTCTGTTTCATACTTAATTAATTCACTTGTGTTTCCCTGTGTAAGTTTTACTGAAAAGTAAAATTATGCACAAGTGACATTTATTTATCTTATAAATACCTGAGTATTGTGTTAGATGATTGTCTTTCTTTTAAGACAGATGTTGAGCAACTTGTGGAAAGGCTTAAGCTGAAACTGGGTTTTTATTTTACAAATAGGAACTGCTTCTCTTTCTTGGTCAAAAAAAGACAAGTCTCTGCTACTTTCTTGACTATGCTTGATTATGGGGATGTATTATATATGAATGCACCCACCCAATGCTACATGTTCTGGACTCTGTGTATCATGTTGCATTGAGATTCATTACCAACTGTGAGCCCCTAACACATCATAGTATCCTGTATGATCAGTTTGGTTAGCTGTCTTTAAAATTCTCTTGTTCACAAAGCTATTCTTGGCCCACTTCCAGCATATTTATGTGTGTACATTAAGCCTCTTTTAAACTCAAGAGGTTTTACTTCTCATAGTCTGTGCCTTTCCTTCATTCCTCATGTGTCAGCTGTTTTCCCCCTCCCCTTTGTTTCTTAATTGTTCCTAGTTTGTCGCTCTATGGCTGTGTGTGTGTGTCTGGGCATGGCTCTCATCAGTCCTGCTGTCAATCTGCCTGCTCACCTGAAAGCCATTCCCTAATCAACCCCAGCAGTACAAACACCCCGGCTCTGCAGTCCGGGCTCCGCCAGATCATTCAGTTGACCTTGCTGTACTAACGATGGCCTATTTATTGCTTATTGCTTTTTTCCTCTTGGATTTTTTTTTTTTTACCTAAGCCTTGTTTCTCTGTGCCTCAAATCCGCACTCACCGGTCATCGGTTTGGCTCAGCCTGCCTGCCCTGTTTCCCCCGAGCGCCCTGGATCAACCCAAGACACCTCTTCTTGCTTTATTGAAAATAAATCCACTTTAAACTAAACAGCTGTCTGAGTCACGCGGGTCCAGTTCTCTCTATACTATACAACACTACTGGTTAAATAAAGGTTAAATAAAGTAAATATAAGATAACAGAGAATGCTTAAATGGAGTGTAACAGTAGCAGAAGTTAAAAAAACCCTACAAAGTCAGGGAATTGACTAAGAAATGTCCATTGCACTGCAAAAATCATTTGCCACCAGCTTTAGCAGTACACTCCAGAGTGGACTGAATTGAGCAAGGGTGTGTTATTGCTTATGAATTAAACATTTTATTCATTATCAGAAGAATGAGAAGAATATCTCCTCTTTCAGAAGTTAAATATTCTCACTTTAGAGGCCTTCACACAACAGAGGCGTTGAATGAATTTGCACGTCAATGTATTTTTTTAACTGTTGTTTTTGTCATCAGTACTTTCACACCAAACACGAATACAATGCAATGAATGAATGACCTTTTTTTTTCAGAATAAAGTTGATTTTGCAAGGTTTTCGCACCAGGAATAAAGGCCAAACCAATCACATCCTATTGCAAATGTCCCAAACTCACATCACTGCTGGTATGAATAGCTTCAATGCAGGCAAGAATTTTTATGCTGTTTCTTCGTCACGCCCCTGGTATGTAAATGCCTTAACAAAGTATATTTACTTGCACATTTTTGCATTGTTGTAGATATTGAAACTAATTTGTGGGACAGAAGAAGCCGTGCCTCTGTGTTTCTGTGAGGGTCTTATTGTTTGCATATCGGTTTCTGTTTGTGTGAATGCTTTTATGTGTTTACTTTAAGTTGGCACGCAGATGCCACACACTCTTGTTGTCTGTGTAATGGAAAGCTTAATGGCTCTGTTTGTTCCCTATGGATGATTACTCACGTCAAACACACAAATCTACAAACACTGGTATTGTTGCACACTTAAACACAGACACAAGCACAGTCAAGACGAACACATGGATCCATTTTTCTCTGCTTTCGTTCACCTGCTTTAATCTGAGACATGTGCATAAAACCAATAAAAAGCCCTCAGCAGTGCACACATTCAGAATTAAAAACAGTTCGCAATGTAAGTGAATTAATGAAGTTACTGAATGGCCTCGGTTCATCAAAGTGAAGCTGCCATGTGGCATTTGAGACCATGGTGCAAATGTGGTAGTTTGTTGTGAGTTCAGTTTTCAAACTGACCGGATTGACGTGCCGAGAATGCAAACACCATGATGTCATCAAATGCCCAGCTGTAGTCCGGGTGCGGAGGGTAGAAAGCCAGGTCCCTGCTGGATTCACGACGCAGGTCTAACAAGTAGGTGCTGTGCACCATGGGAACAGCAAAACAGCCGAGCCGCTTCCACTCCCTGATTGGCTGGTAGTCTGGGGTTCGCTTGTAGTAACCCTGAGAGGAGGGAGATGAAGAACGCCAGGTTTAGGTGATAAATCTACCTGAGAGGACGGACAGATGTATGAATTTCAATCCAAAGTGTACCTGTGGGGTGATGCCACACCAGAAGTTGGAGTAAAGCGAGCGAGACTCCATCATGGGAGCTACCAGGGTCAGGTTTTCAGCCATCAGCAGGTTCAGCACACGAGGGTTCGTCAGCAGGTTGTCACTGTCTACAAACTAAAGAGGGGAGAGAGTCTGAGTGCACAAGTCACTCATTGTATCATATCAGTTCAGCTGTGTGGTTCATTTTTAAGGGTATATTATGCAGGATTTTCCTTAAAAAAAACAAAAAAACAAAAAGATGTATGGACTCATACAGAAGTAATCCCCCTCAATCATCACTTATGACCCACTAAAAGTGTGTGGCAGTGTATTTATCTGCAGAGACTTCACCCTCTGCCTGTATTGTCCTATTTTCCATGTTCTGGACGCTTAGTTGCCCCGACAGCGCTAGGTGAGGTCAGGGCTTTAAAAAAAGGGAGCAACCAGGCGCCTGACCGTAAACAGCAGGCATCCAAAACACACAGTGCCTTGCAAATGCCAAATGGGAGTGAATCTTGTGTTGGCTTTTACCTTCATTTTCACTGGCAAACATGTTTACAAACAGTAACCGACAAACCTGCATTATATACCTTTAACGAATATGTCCCTGGTATCTAATTAAATTGGAATCAGCTGTTTCATTCATGGCTATCAGCTGACGAGTAACGTCCAGTCATACTGATGCAGGTGTACAGCATGGCCAATAATATCGGACACTTGTCAACACTACATGTCTCTGAGGGTCCGGACGGACCCCTATGCAGATATCAGGGTGCTGCCCAAAATTTGTGACTGCCCGACTGTGTACACAACAAGTGCCCTGAATACACATGGCCCAGTTCCACACTCCAGTTCAGCTGGAGGCATATGCACCTCTAGCTGGTTTGCTGAGAAGAAGAAAAAAGGTAACAAATGCTGGAACTCCCAAGGCCCGGGGCAGACCCAGGACACACTGGAGGGACTACGTATCTCATCTGGCCTGGGAATGCCTTGGGGTCCAGGAGGAGCTGGACATCACTGCTGGGGAGAGGGACCTCTGGGGTATTTTGCTTGGCCTGCTGCCCCTGCGACCAGGCCCCAGATAAGCCAATGAAAATGGATGGATGGATGTTGGAAGCTTGTTTTAAAGAGAGGTTGTGCAAGGAGATCCGCCATTACCCACATTTATATAATTCATCTTTAAAGAAATGCAAAGATTTCCCCCCCAAAAACAGACTGGAATGGAGTGTGGATTGGGTTGTCCGTGGACGTTCAACTCAGCAAGTATGTCCAAGGCCTAAAGTCCCACTTACTCTGCCACCCCAGTCTCCTCCCTATATGCTACATTTTTGGTATTGTTAATTTAACTGTGACTAAAATTTATGTTTATATATGTGTTTATTACGAGGGATTAGTTTTCACAGCAGAATCTTTGTGGCTGCTCAAAGTCTGTGAGTGCTCCCTCACAGAGCAGATCCTTTTCTATCAAACTGAATAACCATTTGCTATGAATATACCGCTGACTGAATTGTTGCATAGTTATCATCAGATCAAGAAAGTATCCAAGTCTTACAAGTATGTAGTCGGCCCATCGTTCCCTGGCAGCCTTCAGCGCCGCCTGTCTCAGCTTCATCACATGGTTGAACCTTGAAGGAGGCCAGTGCTTCGGGCCCCACTCATCTGTGTACGACCTGATGCAGAGATAAAAGGTAATTAATTCGTCATCACTATTCAAGTAACTATGAGTAAAACCAGAACAACAGAAAGATGGAATTCAAGTCTGAAGTACTCTGAATAGATGGTAGTAAACGATTCCTGTGGAAACCATGACTCACCTCGGCTCCTCCATGGGTCTCCACTCCACATAGTGGTAGACACGCTGGGCTCTTTTCAGCCATTCTCTTAACATGGCAGTGGTGTTGTCCACATTATGGTCTGTTGCTGCCCTGAAAACAGACAACAGAAACAACACAGGACATCATTCAAACGAAGCAAACACTCCACCTTCCATCGCAATGACACAGCAGCCACAAAACAGTTTAAATCCCTGAAACTGCGACTCTGCCAGTTGAAGTGCATCTGCTAAACACTTGAGCTGTAAACAAGTGTCCCTGTGCAGAAACAAGCCTCTTGGCGTGTCAGGATTGTTTGAAGGGATGAGACCCTCTGGAAAAATAAGAGGATGTGAAGCTGAGTCAAACATAATGCAGAGAGCTGCGAACTGTCATTAGCTGGAGGGAACAGGGAAGAGGTTGTGACACTCTGAGCGGTGACATTCAGAGAGCATGTTATGGAAGAAGACGTACGCGCTTCCAGATTTGTCCAATTACTGTCGAATGTTACGACAGGCAGGCTCGGCGTTGCGAAGCGTCTTCACTGCCTAATTAACTGCACTGCTGGAGCTGGGACAAAGTCTGAGGAGCCACAGTGCAGACAGACATTACTCTGAGGCACTTGGGTTAAACATGGCCACGACAGGTAAACCAAGCACATGCCAACAACACTCTAGAGACGGGCTGCCACGAGGACGTCCATCAAAATTAACTCACCCTGAGGGTACGTTTCCCTTAACCTGAAGGTGAATACTGATGCACTATGTGTTAACACCTTGGCATAGAAATAGTGCACACACAGACAGACAGACACAACACCAGTACACACACACTCATACCTGTAAGCAAATGATGTCAGTGTAAAACTTAGCACAGTTGCAGCTGCTTATTTCTCACTCCTGTGGTTTGCACTCTGCGTAGCTGTTTCTTCACAGAGATTTCCACTTCAGTTCCCAGAGCTGACTCAGAGGAGACACTACCACTACTGTATGTGCCGGTGAGAGTGTGTGTATATATAAATTTGCGCAAGAGAAATTAAGACTGTAACCGTATCACTGTGCAGCTCCCTATCACTTCTATGAGTGTCAGAAAAGTAAATATCAGCTGTCTTTGCGTTTAAATTGCCCTTTAAAGAAGAAAGGTCAACAGAACGTGAGGAAGAAGCCTGTACTCGAATGTGTGCACACAGACACACACTCACGCTTAATGAGATGGAGTTTTCCACTGCTTGCTGTAATATTCCTTGCTGTACTCGCTCCAAAATCGCACCCGATTTGCGACTGGCTGGACAAAGATAGAAACACACACACGCACACACACACTTGTGCACTGTCTGCTCGTATTTTTAGTGAGATTTACCCACCCTTCATTTACCCACATTTAGCAGAAATAGCAATACAGAAGCACCTGTTCTCACACACACGCACATGCTTGTATCACCCACACAGATGTTTATATCCATGGGGGCTCCTGGGCACAGACATGAAAAAGGCCCCTACTCTACTCTGCTATACAGGAGCAAGACACACAGACTTTGTGGTGGTTTTGTGTCTTTTTTGGCTGTTGTTTTGTGTTGCTTTCAGGTACATGTGTGTCTTTTCTGGCAGTTTTGTGTCTCTTTGTGGTTATTTTGCATCTCTTTCTAGTTATTTTGCATCTTTTTGTAGTTATTTTGTGTCTCTTTGTAGTTCCTTTGCTCATCTTCGTGGTCATTTTGAGTCACTTCCTGGTTTGTACACATTAATGTGAGTGACATTTTGTGGCAAGCAAAAATCACACATAAACATGAACAGTCTTGCACCGCAGACATGGATTACTCAGAAAGAGGCAGAGCCCTCTTTGGTTTGGAATTTCAATAATCTTCAGTCAGACGGTTAAATATCTCATCACACATAACCAGCAGCTGGAAAGAGGCTGTGAGCCTGAAGGAGACACAGTGGTCAATAATTTTAATAGTATGTGTGTGTGTTTATGTGTGTGTGTGCATGCCTACACTTGCAGATATGTGACAAAACATAAGGACGTTCATTTTTGTGTCCTGGGAATGCTGTTTTTACAGCAGTGTGACTGGTGATTTATCTGCTGCACAAGTGGTACTTTAGCATTTTAAATGTATCTGTTTGAGTGTATGTTAAAGGTTGAGGGCATGCGTGTAAAAAGTAAAAACGTGTGTATGCAAGCATGCGTGTGTGTGTGTGTGTGTGTGTGTGTGTTTTAGTGGATAACTGCCCATGAGGAGTCATAAAGGAGGAAGGTGCCTCTTGATGACTGGCTGTTGTGTTTTTTTATCATGGGCTAGAAGCACACTAAAACACCTGACTGGCTGGTAATGAGCACATGTGCACACACATTTACAACCGCTAAACTGCACATCGCTGGGGGAAATAAATGTGTTGGTACATGTTATCTTCCAATGACAGACTCAGCTCCAGGCATGGATTTAACAGGAGGGAACTTCTGGGAAGTAAAGAACAATATGTGGTGCACATATGTGGGAACATACAGTACACATACATGTACGTGTGTCTTTATGAGTACATTAGACAACAAAGAGGAGTGTGGAGCAGAGCGGCAAAAAGGGGGTGAAAGGGGGAATTCCTCAAAGAGCTCATTAAAACCCCTCAAAACTTATAAATTATCAGACTGACTTTGTTTTACACATATCACATTAAAATGCTAATGATGCCTTTACTTAACTCACAAAATCAGAGCAAATAAAAATCTCACAAAACTCGTTTTTTTGTGTGTTTTAACAGGCTTTCCTTGGCAGGACGTGTGCTCCCGGTGTCCTGGTAATCTGTCGGTAAAGGTTGAAGGCTGTCTACAAAGGAATAGAAAACTGTGTCTTGGGAATGGTTTAAAAAAAAAAGACATATGGGAACATTTACGTCAATGAATAATCAGATTTTCCCAATAAAAGGGAAGCATTACTCTAACTGTGTTATGAAGCTTTTGGGGCTAAAACTTAAATAAATAGACACTTCATACATATCACAATGGTAAAAGTACAAAATGCAATGACTGGGGATGATGCATAACTTCTTTAGTGTTAGTGTTCCTCCCACTGCCAAGCCCCTTTGAGCACTCAGGATTCTGAGTACACTGTGTGAGCTTTCACTAACATCGTTTCATCCTAGCAAGGGTGTAGGTTTTGTTTCAACATTGAAGGGGACACATATAAAAAGGGGGTGTTGGGGGGTCCTCTGCCAGAAAATGTTGAGCATTTCCTGCATTCTGGTGGATTTTTATGCACCAATTTGTGGCTTTTGTGCATCAATTTACAGTGTAAATGTCTTTAATCTTGTCAAAATAAAAGTCCTCTGCTACTTTCATGTCTCTATTGAGGAGATCAAATACAAATGTTCTGAATATTGAGCTGGAAATGTTTGATCAGGCAAGGCAAACGACTTAAAGTAAATTCATCTTTTCCTTTAGATGTACTTCATTCCATGCTTTCCATAACTTCTAAGGAGCATTCTCTCATTTCATTTTAAACACTTCAAAAGGCAACTATGTGCTCCGCAATTTCCTCTACCTTCAGGCAAGATAACCCACAGCAGCTGAACTGTACTGTATTGTTACCTCAGTGCCAAAGAGTCTTCCCTGTTCCTGCCAATTCTTCATCTGTGCGAAGCTGACAGCTCTGAAACTGTGGAATTATGAATATTTTATCTCACACCGGGGATATATCTGCATCTATACACACCTGGCAACACTTTGTTTGTTTGTGACAATATGCAAATCAAGATATAGGGTAACTGTATGTGCATGCATCTCTGTATAAAGGCACAGTCGTGTGGGCTCCCTCCTCATCCATCCATACATCTGCATCTACCTCTTTCTTGCCTTGTGCTGCGCCTCCTTGTTCCCCTTCTAAAGTTTACAGTAAATTGCAGCCTCATTATTCTGCTGCCTGCAGCTTTGAGGTTGGGCTTCATCTCCCCGTATCTGTCTTTATGATTAGCATCTGGTCACCACATGCTTCCCCAGGCTTTACCTACACCACTCCCTCTGTCTCTATTGCTTCATAGATATCCATTTATTCTCCCCTCATTATATAATCTCAGTGCACTAGGCCATCTGTCCTTTCACCTACTTACATCCTACTTACTCATTGTCTTGTCATCTCTTGTGCACATCTCAAACCATCTACATATTACACCTGTCCTTAATCAGCACTGCAGCAGCTAATGTAGAGTATTATCATCAATATTGTAGAGGAAATTATAGGACAAAACAGCCAAAGTCTGAATGATCCCTTGTTTTGCTGAGTCAGAAACTGGTTTGCATGATATCCTTTGAATAGCAGAAATTTTCATATCACAACGTATGAAAAGTAACAGTCACATTACCTATAACATTACCACACTTTTGTATATCTGCGAAAAGTTATTTGGTCTAGTCAGACTGCACTGCAGCAATCATTCAGTAAAACGTAGTAATATAATACGTTGGTCACATCTGCATCTCCATCAGCAGACGTGATTATCAACCCACTTCATCACTCTCTCTGGCTCTCTCCCTCCCTCTGTTTAAGGTAATCCACTGCAGGAGTGTGTCAGATAACAGGGGAGTGTGTCATGAAGGAGAGGGCTGACATCTGGCCTTAAACACAGAGGCTTGTCTCTGAGACTGGCCCTTTTAGGTAAACACAGGTCTGAAAAAATCCAGCAGGCCAGTGTCAGCTGACTGTTGATTAAATAAACGATCTAATATCGCTGCCAATAATGGCTGGGTGCTGCATGTAATTAAGAAGTAAGAATGCCTCTTTCAGACCCCAGTGTAAATGCCTTTAAAACGTAATAACTATGCCAGCGTGTGCATGTCTGTGTTGACTTTGCAGTATAGTCTCCCCTGTGGAGGCTGACGTGGCTGCAGGTCTCTTGATGGCCTAGTGAGGCAAAAGAGAAAGAGGAGGGGGTGGAAGGGCAGAGAGATGGAGGTGAACGGGAAATTCCTCATAACTCTCAGGGTCAACAAAAGTAGCGAGGGCTGGCGGGGTTGCACTGAAGTGTAATATTCAGTATTTATACTCAAGACTGGGAAAAGATCTAGTTAGATATGGAAGAAAGTGTTGACTGTTGGTAGGAGACGGGATAATAAACAAACTCACT